TAGTCCATGATGGTAGAGTTGCCAGCTACATTTGAGGTGTGAAGGTAAGATGATAAATGAGACATCAGAGTATCATTTAGCTAGCTGGGGAAAAGCACGAGAACGGTTAGGAAAAGAACACAACTGACTTTATGCATCAGCAAATTGGCAAGATGACCACGACAGCCTTCAGCAAATATTGTACACTTTGCATGCAACTCCATACCTCGTTGAAAATTCTCCTGAAACAAAAAAAAAAAACCCACCTAGTTACGGCAACCGCTACAATATAAAGCTAACGAAAAAGCTGACTGGTTTTGGAATCGCAACATTTCGTGTGTTGCCAGTGGAATTCATTTTCACTTCTCAAATTAACTGCTTCTTAACACTGATACCGCTGCCAGTTTCTTCATTCTTTTCTTGTCGCAGGACGGTTCAAGCAAAATCTTGCACTACTTTGATTGTAACCAACAACCTCAATTTTCTATCCCCCCCTCCCCCCCCACCCGCTTCACACCACCAAGCTAACTGCTCGTTTTAGCATGGTCATATCGTTCACAGCTAAATGAAGAAGTTCTATTAGCTGCTATTCTCACTTACATTCGCCATTTTACGGCCCAATGAATCACCACTAATGCATTTCCCATTCGCATAAAACAGAACTTTCACGACCAGTGCCATGATGAAGTTAGTCGCGACACCCGTCAGGCTTACAAGTACGAATACGCGTTTCTTGCGCAGATTTTCCCCAAAGATACTTGTCGCTAAGTAGCACTGCTTTTCTGGCAGGTACTTCTGGAACAGAAGTATTTGTCAAAAGCGAATTCCGCATACCGATAAAGAGAGGAGTGAGGCAAGGCGATCCCACATCGTTCACGCTTTTCATGGCCGGCCTCGAAAAGACATTTCGGTACTGGACTGGAGGAGCAGTCTGAAAATCAATGAGGAGCAGGCTAAATTACTTGCTTTTTCGCGGACGGCACAGTTCTTTTGCCAGTAACTCTCGCGAAATAAACGAGCAGCTCAACAGATGACGGGGAGGAGTGAAGGATGCTTGGACGTCCCTACGCGACCGTAAAAATAATATCAGATGAGCAGTGTACAGAATATCATCACGACCATGCGAGAAAGTAAAGCTGCCGATGGCTTCCTTTTCTGAGGATTGCTTACAGGCTAGCTGATGGTGGGATTAATTCCTAACATACGTTAGTTTCAATTTACCCTCGAAATGTATGAACAAGTGGTGGAGAGATTGGATTGCAAGGCATTCTGTGAAAAAAAGCGGCACATGT